GAGTGGGACTTGAGACTAGAGAGAGGGACCTGAGAGAAGCTAGAGACAAGAGACCAGGGAGAGACCAGAGAGAGACCAGAGAGAGACCAGGGAGAGACCAGAGAGAGACCAGGGAGAGACCAGAGAGAGACCAGGGAGAGACCAGAGAGAGACCAGGGAGAGACCAGAGAGAGACCAGGGAGAGACCAGGGAGAGACCAGAGAGAGACCAGGAAGAGACCAGGGAGAGACCAGGGAGAGACCAGGGAGAGACCAGAGAGAGACCAGAGAGAGACCAGAGAGAGACCAGAGAGAGACCAGAGAGAGACCAGAGAGAGACCAGAGAGAGACCAGGGAGAGACCAGGGAGAGACCAGGGAGAGACCAGGGAGAGACCAGGGAGAGACCAGGGAGAGACCAGGGAGAGACCAGAGAGAGACTAGAGAGAGACCAAAGACAGACCAGAGAGAAACCAGAGAGAGAGACTAGAGAGAAACCAGCAATAAATTAGGGAGAGAGACCTGAGAGAAACCAGAAAGATACCAGAGAGAGAGAGACCAAACACATACTCACTTTCCCTGAACAACTTTACAATTCGGTTAGTGGTGAATGGCTCGAGGATCTCTTGCTCTTGTGGACAATCCTGGTGCAAAAATAGCATATTTTCGCTAATCTCACCAAGTCACCATCATCAAACTCATACTGTATGGGCAGTTTTGGCTCCGCGGGAGGCAAGGCGAGCTGCGAGCGAGGCTGTCTCCACTTCTCATGCGGGTTGAATTAAACACATGTGAAGCGTGCATTCTGTGTGTACGACGAGAAACACCTGTAGTGAGGCCAAAGTGGTGGAGGCGAGAAGCCGTAAGACAGATTGACCTGTAGACAGTAAGGATGCACCGATTGTGACATTTTGGGCTGATACCGATCTTTATCATAACTTGGCCGATGATTTTATTTTTGTTATTTATTACCTGCCGGGAGTTTGTGCTTTCTTGGTTGCTTCAGTTGTCCGTTTTTCTTCAGCTTCATGCAGTCGCTCTACATCGCCTCATCCTTGCGTCTCAAAAGTCCAAGGAGATTCCATGTGTTGAATGACGTACTCACAGTCCTTCCCTTTGGCAATCTCACTGAACACGAGCAAACTGCAAACGCTGATCTTTCTCGGTAAAATATTGCCACACGACTGTCGCCATTTTCGTGGTTTCTTCTACTGAGGAAAGTGCGCAGACGCCCTCTACTGGTGTCTCTTTGCACGTGCAGGCACAGGGAGAACATGTAAAAACTCCACTTAGAAAGGCCCTGTTCCGACCAGGATTCAAACCCAGCACCTTCTTGCTGAGAAGCGAGAATGCTATCCACTCAGCCAAAATAAATAAATATCTACGTCACACTTCTTAAAATTACTACTATAAGACTAAGACAGACTTGAATGATCCACAGGGGAAATTGCGTTGTCACAGTAGCTTGCATCCACAAAAAATATCAATGAAAATAACAATAAAGTAAATACAACCTGAAAATAATAATAATAAGATTCTATTGTGAGAATAAGTACACTTTAAATTTCTATATCTATTGTCATGGTGTCAAAAAACACATATGGCACTGATGTAGCTGGTTGAGAAAGTAAACATTTATCATCCACCCCCTCAGCTTCATCAATACACATGTTATACCTCATTATAAAGCTCTAAACAGACACATCTTGTCAGAAACTTATTACAATCTGATGCATACTCCCCTGGACATGTCTGGGTAACTAAAAGGGCCCTCTTCAAAAGTAGAGCATGCATGTACGTATCTCTTTGTGTGGCATGTGGACCAACAGAAGGTTAATGCAGAATGCTGGCCCACTTTATCAGCTGCACCCACCCTGCACCGCGGAAAGACACAGCGAGGAAGTGATTCGGAGCAGCCGGTTCATTCCATGTCTCAAAATATCCCCACAGTCGGCGGAGCAGTTCACACTCATCAAAACCCTCCAGTCACCAGACCAGTTACTAATATTAGACCGTGTAAAGGCCACTGCAGTGACTTTTGAAGCTGTAGGTGTGCATTCAATTCAATTCAATGTGTATTTGTGTAAGATTCAGATTCAGTTGATTTGCCATTTGCAGTAAAACCACATTTACACAAGTTCCCAGTGTGCACCAGACAAGTACATGCATAAGGTATGAAGCACAGGATGAAAACAAGTGTCACTGTGGAATTGATCAACAACAACAGTTTCAATATAAGAACGATGTCTTTTTCCAGAGGGAGTGAGCTAAATCACAACAATAGTCATCTCTGCAGATTGGAGGTCGGTGTCGGTGACGTCAGAAGTTTGCGCCAAATTTGCTGGTTGTAGTTTGGCGGAGAATGCGATAGTAAAATAATCTGTTCTGGTTCAATCCAAATATCAAGAAATTGAAACCGGAGCAAGAGGAATGTTTAGTAAATGTCATTGCTGCAAAGATTTTGTGGCTCCACTCCCCACGGGCTCCGTTAGTGGCAAAGGAGATGGCTAAAGCTAGGCTAAATGCTAAAGCTCGGCTAAATGCTAAGTGCCTCACTCACTCAGACTCATCACATACGTCACGGTAAACTCAGATCCAATGGTTTCAATCTGCAAAAGGAGTTATCCCCTCCCACCTGTTCACGGAGTCAATGGAGCAAATCCAGACCTTAGTACAAATGAAATGAGTACTATGGTGTGTTAAGACCAGGCTATTCATGTCATGGATCACCACAGTCCTTAGACCCTGCTGCATCAGTAACGACAATAACCCCCATGGGTAAACTTTATAATGAGATAAATGATTGTGAAACTTGGGCAGAATGTCAACACCCTCCTGTATTGATTTGTTCCTGAGCCGAGCCGTTTTGTAAAATGGAATTGGAAGTTATTGAAGGGGTAACAAGTCGAGGAAAGTGGTCATTTTCTGCTTGACTGGATGAACAAATGAGTAATTAAGGCAACACTAATTGTTCTGTTCCTTAATGTAGTTATTGTTCTGTTTACTGAAACTGTCTTAAAATGTTTTTCAAGATAATTGTATGGTATTATGGTGTAATGATATGCAACACAGTGGACATGCGAGAAGTGTGGTTTTCGTATGTTTTGTCGCAGAATTTGCCAACAAACTGAATGAGAAACACAATATCCGTCAACAATTGTTCATGCATTTATTTCTTCCATGTTGTCTTCATGATTGGAAGTGGGACGGGACTTTATTCATTGTCTAAAAAGGACAGGATGTGGACAGGAAGGTGGATCTCATGGAAGCAACACATGCTTCTGGACGGGCAGTGGCGATGATGTCATGTTTTACCCCACCCCCACCGGGATATTATGCATGGGTTGTCAGGAGCAACAGCACAGCATGCGTTCACACATGCGTTTATGAATGGCGACTTTTGGCATCAAGAGGCCGAGGCTGTTCTTTTGTCTTTTTACAGGCTTTGATACTATTTCACAAAAGATTTCTCAGAGTCCAAATGACATCATATCTCAGCCATGTGCATTAGACTTCGAATAGTCCAGACCAGAGGGAGGGACTTTCGTTATCAGACTACGCAAGCCGCAAACTTTACTTTTATTTCATACACACATTTACACATATGCATATACACTTACATATACCGGTTTACACATGTACATACACATGTTTATATATTATACACATACAAAATGTGAAAAAATGTCTAAATTGTGAGTTTTAGGTAAGGATAGTTTGCAGGTTTTTTTCTAAAATATTCCTTTGTATAACTTAATTTTGGGTTACAGTAAAAGTCGCAGCAAGCTCGTGGTCTTCATTTTTTATTTAATCTTTAATTCAGACACACAGAGTCCATATAACACTAAAACAGACAAGAAATATACAGACAAAAACACACAAACTCACAATTTACAACATTCTGTAAATACCTGTTTTCTCTGTAGTAATACAGTTGAGTAGAGGTGATGATGAGTTTATAAATATCTATAAATTAAGTAAATATTCTTGCTCCCAAACAATGTAATAAAGTAAGTAATCCTCTATCCATCTGTGGCCGTAAACCATTTCTTCGTCTGAGGGTGGTTCCGATCATACACTCATCCATGTCAAGAGACGAATAAGGACTAATCTAATCATCCACATTCTCACCTCAAGACCAGTGCGGGCTCCAAAAGGTCCCTGCTCACTCTGGGAAACACCCCATGCTTTTGTATCCCGCCTTCTTTCCTCTCAAAAACCTCTTTACAGGATGGTCCAGAAGTCGCTCTTGGTTCAGATGCTGTCTATGTTGAGGGGAGTATTTTTTTTGGGGGACCAGTCTAGTTAAGCCGCTGTGGACTTTCGAATGCGCCCGAGGCCATTTTGAAAAGGTGGTGGCACATTAGTTTCAGCAGCGGAGATAGGTGTGACTACGTCTGTTAATATTTACAGTCAATGCTCTCGACCTTTCAGGCAAATTTAGTACTTCCGGATTATAAGAAGCGTATTTTAATTTTTTCTAATACTTTGAAGCTTTAGTAAAGCGGTTAATATGTGTTATTAGAGTTTATGGACTTATTATTTAGACTCCATCCAGTTTTAGTAACTATAGCAAACTTGTTTATTGTCAAAATAGGTGTAGGTGAATGAGTCATAGAAGCTAAAGGTTAATCTGTTAAACACCTCGTCATTAAATCATGTTGAGAGTGAAAACAGTCTATCTGCTGCATACAACATGAAAACCTGCAGCTTATATTCAAGTGTGGCCTATGTATTTGGGAATGGAGGCCTCCTTGTTATCACAGACGGATTTCTGATAAACTAAAATTATGTAAGAGCAGATAGATAGATACTTTATTGACCCCCGTAGGAGAAATTCATGTGCCCAGAAGCAGCTAACATAGATACAACACAACAGCAGACTCACTGATGCCGCTGATGCGTGTGTCATCAGGGCTGCAGTCAGTGGCAGCAGTAGAGGGAGCGAGCAGGAGCTAAATGACCTCCATTATCCCCCGATCAGAGCAGGTGATGGGAGACCACACAGACATGAGTGTTCACGGCTAAATTGACATGCTATGGACGAGTGCTGCTGGACACATGCGGAATCCATCATCAGGGACTCCATCATCAGGGACTCCATCATCAGGACAACTATTGCGGCTGTCGTCTGCTGCAGTATCTATGACAACCATGGATCATCAATGTGGATTTCATTTCATTTCATTTTCAACCCCTTTATTTGTCCATTTCTGGGTCAGGGGGGTGGCAATGAGAGCTGCCACCCAATGCCCATAGCACCAGTCCCTCACTGATCTTCTGCAGGGGGTGAGTCCACAGGAAGATGGCTGCTCCATCGGTTGAGAAACCGCCTTGATCTTTCAGCGGGGGGCTTCAGGCAACGTGGGGTTAAGTGTCTTGCCCAAGGACACAACGACAGCAGTCATCAGTGGGAGCAGTTGGAGTAGGTCCCATGGTGGGAATCGAACTCACGACCTCCAGGCCCAAAGGCCAATGCTCTACCAACTGAGCTACTGTCGCCCCCCATCAATGTGGATATAAAACATTATAGATCAACATTATAGATGTCAACAACAACAAAAAGAACTAAGAAATTAACATACACAGACAGAAGCGAGGCAACCAGTGCTATCGGCCCCTCCCACCACCACCAACCATTTACACACACACCAGACTCATTCTAATGTGGGGGAAGTGTCTTGCCTAAGGACACAACCACAGTTTGGCACTTTACAGCCGCAGCTGCCCCACTGTGGCACCTGCTGTTCCCAGAGGTCTCCCATCACAGCCCTGCTCTGCTTCAGAGGTCTGACAGGATCTGGCTTTCACTTGCAGGGTATGGCCAAAAGTGCTTTCCACATTATAAAACAATTGGAATTATTTCAAACCAAACTCAGACCGAAGAGACTTAAACCATGTTAGAGTGACGGTGTTAGTACTTTGAAAGTCACATCTTAAAGCCAGCACTATTGTAAAACACATATTCTCCATTTTCCTCCTAGCCTGGTCTTGCCACACCATAGTACAAATGACATTTCGTACTAAGGTCTGGCTCCATTGACTCCGTGAACAGGTGGGAGGGGATAACTCCTTTTGCAGATTGAAACCATTGGATCTGAGTTTACTGTGACGTATGTAGTGCGCCCGAGTCTGTTGTTAGCATTTAGCATTTAGCCTAGCCATCTCCTTTGCCGCTAACGGAGCCCGTGGGGAGAACGCCACAATTTTCCTCTTGCTCCGGCTTCAATTTCTTGATCGAACCAGACCGGAATACTTTACTATCGCATTCTTTGCCATTACCAAACCACAACCTTCCCTTCGACGCAAACTCTTGACAACTACCCACAACTAACTACAACACCCGCCTTCCGCACTCTCTGATTGGTCGGTCAAAATTCAACCGATTGTATTTGCTAACATGGGGACTAGACCCAGACGTTACATGTAGTCAAATGATGATTGAACGGAGTGTACGGATGGATAAGGCCAGGCTTGTTTCCTCCTAGTAAGTCCAAAAATGTACTTTCTGTTTCTTGTTTCTCCCTCCCTCCCCCGGTGTAGTTCAGGGTGTAGTTCCCGGTGAAGTTCCCGGGGTGTAGTTCCCACTGTAGTTCTTGGTTTAGTTTCTGGTGTAGTTCCTGGAGTAGTTCCCACTGTAGTTCCCGGGGTGTAGTTCCCGGGGTGTAGTTCCCGGGGTGTAGTTCTCGGTGTAGTTCCCGGGGTGTAGTTCCCGGGGTGTAGTTCCCGGGGTGTAGTTCCCGGTGTAGTTCCCGGGGTGTAGTTCCCGGTGTAGTTCCCGGGGTGTATTTCCCGGGGTGTAGTTCCCGGGGTGTAGTTCCCGGGGTGTAGTTCCCGGTGAAGTTCCCGGGGTGTAGTTCCCACTGTAGTTCTTGGTTTAGTTTCTGGTGTAGTTCCTGGAGTAGTTCCCACTGTAGTTCCCGGGGTGTAGTTCCCGGGGTGTAGTTCCCGGGGTGTAGTTCCCGGGGTGTAGTTCCCGGGGTGTAGTTCCCGGGGTGTAGTTCCCGGGGTGTAGTTCCCGGGTGTAGTTCCCGGGGTGTAGTTCCCGGTGTAGTTCCCGGGGTGTAGTTCCCGGGGTGTAGTTCCCGGGGTGTAGTTCCCGGGGTGTAGTTCCCGGGGTGTAGTTCCCGGGGTGTAGTTCCCGGGGGGTAGTTCCCAGTGTAGTTCCCGGGGTGTAGTTCCCGGGGTGTAGTTCCCGGGGTGTAGTTCCCGGGGTGTAGTTCCCGGTGTAGTTCCCGGGGTGTAGTTCCCGGTGTAGTTCCCGGGGTGTAGTTCCCGGGGTGTAGTTCCCGGTGTAGTTCCCGGGGTGTAGTTCCCGGGGTGTAGTTCCCGGGGTGTAGTTCCCGGTGTAGTTCCCGGTGTAGTTCCCGGGGTGTAGTTCCCGGGGTGTAGTTCCCGGTGTATTTCCCGGTGTAGTTCCCGGTGTAGTTCCCGGTGTAGTTCAAGGTGACTGCAGTGTTTGTATTTGCAGCATTAATCCGGTGCATTTGAAGCTCCAGCCAAACCTTTGCTCCTCCACAGTCGCTCCCACATGGACCCGCTCCTGTTTACTCTGTGCTTCCTGTGTGTCTGAGCCTCTTGTGCTCTTACAGCAGCCCATTGGCCACATGTTGGGGACAGAATGGGGGAGAAGGGGTTTGGGTGAGGGACGAGCAAGTCAAGCCAGAGGATGAGGTCATTCGTATGCCTCAGTCACCACATAAACAATCGCTAAAGTCTTTTCTCCATTGTTTATTCTGAAAACTTTAATGTTGTTTGTGTCTCTGTCATCTTTCAGACTCAGACTTGAAATTACTTTTATTGCCATTGCGAGTCACGGCAATGTATGTATCTATGTATTTATTTGACATGGAAACACTTCAGTTATACAGGACAGACCAGATGCACTGCCTTTAGTGTTTTACCAAACCCATGCTAATTTTCAACACTTGTTTGTAGGAGGCTTTTAGGACATACATGCCCACATTTACAAATATTTACAAATATAAAAATGATTTACAGTTAACAATATGTAATGTGTGGAAATTGCTTTGGATCTCAGTGCAAAGAAATTATAAAAAAGGCATGCATAACAATAAAAACAAGAATCTACATCAGCGGCACGGTGGCTGAGTGGATAGCACTCTCGCCTCTCAGCAAGAAGGTCCTGGGTTTGAATCTCGGTTGGACCAGGGCCTTTCTGAGTGGAGTTTGCATGTTCTCCCTGTGTCTGCGTAGGTTTCCTCTGGGTGCTCCGGTTTCCCCTACCACTAAAAATATGTACAATAGGTCTGGCATGCGCCTCCTGTACTGGCGACCCCCACTCCCAAAAATAACAATTGTAAACCGCTTTGAGACTCCGATGTGCAGTGAAAAGGCGGTATATAAATAAAGATTACTTACTACTACTACTACTACCATATACTGTACAAGTGGCTGAGTGGTTAGCACTCTCGCTTCTCGGGGTTTGAATCCCGGTAAGAACAGGGGCTTTCTGAGTGGTGTTTGCATGTTCTCCCTGTGTCTGTGTAGGTTTCCTCCGGGTGCTCCAGTTTCCCTTACCACTAAAAACATGCACAACAGGTTTGAATGTAAATCAGTGAGTAGTAAGTAGTAAGTAATCTTTATTTATATACCACCTTTTCACTGCACATTGGAGTCTCAAAGCGGTTTACAATTGTTATTTTTGGGAGCGGGGTCGCCAGTACAGGAGGCACATGCCAGACCTATTGTACATATTTTTAGTGGTAGGGGAAACCGGAGCACCCGGAGGAAACCTACGCAGACACGGAGAGAACATGCAAACTCCACTCAGAAAGGCCCTGGTCCAACCGGGATTCGAACCCAGGACCTTCTTGCTGAGAGGCGAGAGTGCTATCCACTCAGCCACCGTGCCGCCCGGTGAATGGATGGTGTTTATTGGGGGCTTTGATGGTGCAGTGTGTTCGGCGTCTCGCTTCCATCGTCACTGTGTGGAGTGATAGGAACAATATCTGAATATCTGAAAGCGCTTTGGATGACCTTGGTCTGTAAAATGCGCTATATAAATAAACATTGCTTACTTCCTCACACACACACAGTAGATATTTAGCAGTGCATTGTGGGGATGGTAGTCATAAATATCCCAGGCCTTGCCCTATATTCTCCCTCTCCCTCCCTCCGGCTCTTGTGCAGATGTCGCATTCAAAACAACTCACTGTATTCACGGTGACGAGTCGTTTTAGTCTGTGTTTGCCTGTTCAAAGCCCGGTACGTGCCTGCAGCTCATAAGTGTGGCACCGGTATGTAAACAAAGCCTGAAGAATGTGCCGTCTGTCACTTTTGGACGATTGCATCACAGCAAAATCATGTGCTGAGTTGGACGAGGCTCAAGAAGTCCCGAGTTTATGAGGTTTCTGAGCAGGTAGACAAACATCTGAGCTATGTGTGGCAGATAACATGTACTTACATCTGTCTTGGTGTCACTGCACTCAACAACTATGTCTGATTTGGAGCCAAAGAAGAACGCAAGACTCCTTTTACAAGAATAAGACAAATACTGACTTCATTTCATTCCATTTTATTTGTTCTTTTATAACATTACAGTCAGTTTTGTCTGTTATTTGCAGAATAACTGAAGGCATTTAGTTAGTATTGTAGGAGTTACCCCAGACTTTAAGGCACTATATACACTGCACAAAATGATGACAGTGGCTCAGTTGGTAGAGCGTTGGCCTTTGAACCTGAAGGTTGTGGGTTCGAGTCCACCACAAGACCTTCTCCGCCGACTTCCACATACATACACATGTATATATTTTTATACAAACAATTTTTCATCAATAATAAAAACTGATTTCAAACCCTTTTGATTTAGTTAGATTTATTTCAAACCTGTAATTTCCCACATATTCACACTACAACGGCTTTGAATATTTTATTTTGTTATTCAAATGGTTTATTTTCCTCTATTAATGGGAATTATACTGTCTTAAAGACCTTATGCCGGGTTTGATTTATTTAGAAATACAGTTTTAATACCATTTTATATCAGAAGAGAACTACTAAAGGTTTCAAAATCAGTTGTTGTTTTTTTGTCTGATCCCCCCCAAATCGAAATAACCCCATAGCAACGCCCTTAGAGACGAAAAAACTTCACAGCCCTTGGTGACGTCAGAGTGGGTACGTTTCAACGCTGTAAGTTGTTTACAATTTGGTATTCGTTCTTTTATATTCAAGATGACAAGGCCGTGTACAGCAAGTCTGAGATAAATACTACATTATAACATCTCGTTGGCTCTGAGATAGTCCAGTGGTTGTGTCGATGGACTGTCAATCCAGATACTTGGGTTCAAATCCCACCTCAGACACATTTTCACACTCAAAACGGCAATTTATGTGTAGTGAGCAATTGTCACCTGTAGAGGGCAGTATTGTGTTGGGCATCAGTGGAGAGAAGAGAGAAAAGTCAGTCCTGTGGCATAGATCCATGGTTTTCAATGCATGGGCGTTACCCGCTGTGACGTCACACACAGGTTAGAGCATAGACAACTTAAATTCATAAAAAACACGTTCTTTTTATAAAATATAGGATTTTTTTTGCCGGAATCTCTTTCAGATTGACATTGTCATGCAATTTTGATATCCACAATTATTTTTTTTTAAACCCGGCATAAGGTCTTTAAGTCATTATTGTCTGAAAAATTGGCAGATATGAGACTGAAATGTACTTCATACATCAGAAATCATACAATTCTCAATTGTATGATTGAGAATTGTATGATTTCTGATGTATGAAGTACATTTAGATTGAAAAGAGCACATTTATCCAAAATCCTCAAGGCAAACTCTGTAATAAAGTAAAAAAAATCAAGAAAGATCACATGTGGTGACTTAAATACAATGATTACGCACAAATTCACAAATATCACCCACGATTGATATAGATCTACAACTTGTTTTTGACTCAACAGTTTAAGAAAAATACTAATAATATCTATGTTAATCCAACCTGCACTAAAATGTCATAGTTTTTAGCAATCCTTTTCCTTTTGTCCACTTGGCAGCTGTGTGGTGCTGACCTCATTTTAAGCATCTACTTAACAGCGCACATAACAGAGCATTAGGTTCTGAAATGCTAATGGGCACAGAGCGTGGTTATGGACCTGCCGGGTCTCATGAAGGGAAGCTCGGTGCCTGTGCGCATTGACTTTGGGGTATCCTCTTTCTTCGTTGGTGTTAAAGTCAGTGTCCCAGGCGTTGGTAGCACCTGTAGCTGGAGCCCCCACGGTCACGCAGGAAGGTGACTGCTAAAACATTGGTGACGGCATCTTAAACCAATCGTTACGACAGGATGCCATAGATTCCCGAAGCTCCCATGACAACTCACTTTTCAGCAATCCCAGGATACTCTGAACGGAGACAACCTTTATTATTATTATTATATGTTTATTTGACAGGGATAGAACAAGAGGCGTTGTTCATAGGCCGTACAGCAGCTATATAACGGCTAATTTATGGATCTGGTCCCTATGACATAAAAATACATCACATTTACAGATCAAGACACAGATTACACAGTTCAAAATATTTACAAAAGAATATTAGAATCTTGCATTGTCCTCACAAGTTTGGTTCCTTCCTTGATGTAATATAGAAGCCTAGAAGTTGTTTTTGATCTCCAGAGATTTCAACTTGGGCTTTAGCTGCTGTAGTCAGAAGGACTTAGGCAGCATGTTTTAGCTATTCATTTGAATTTTGGACCAAATAATATCAAATGTATGTATTTTGAAAGGTAGACGTATGGGTTGACTTCCCACAGCTGAGCCATCACAGACATGATCTTTAGGGATGCACCGATTGTGACATTTTGGGTCGATACCGATGTTAAACTGAACAACTTGGTCGAAGTCGGATGTTTTTCTTTTTGTTTTTTATTACTTCCAGCTTGCACGCAATCGCTGTGCACACCTCATGCTTGCTTCTCCAATGTCCAATTAGATTTGTCGTGTTAAAGGTTTTTCTAGCAGTCCCTCTTGAAATCTCACTTGAACGTGTTTTGCAAACTGTAAAACATTCCTACACGACCTCCACCATCTTCTTAGCTTCTTCTACTGAGGAAAGTGCGCAGACGTCCTCCACCAGTATCTCTTCACACGCGTCTACCATCGGAGAATGTCATTTTCTGATGGCTCATGGTAGATAACAAGGCAAACATCGGCCGATACCAATGTTCAGCCCATGCATCAGTGCTCTAATTTTTGTCTTATTTTCACACTATGGGTCATTTGCACGAGTCACACGGTGCATAATCACTGAGAAACCTTCGACCAACTATAGCAGTCAGGTTGGCAAAATCTCCCAAACTGTATAAAAGCCTGTTGCTTAAATTTGGGTCAGGCAAAGACGATTCAAACTACACATAAGTTACACATGGACAAAACTTTGCTTAATGACAAGTCGTAAACAGCCGTTAACAGTTCGTCCTTTTGTATAAGCAGTAACAAATAATATCGTTAAAATATGAATTGAATGAGAATTTTGTCCATTATAGTCCATTATAATGCAGGTCCTGGTGCAGTGCGCTGTGACTTTAGACTTATTTATTTATTTATTTGTTTCAATTGTAGACAAAAACAATACTACACATATTACAATTACATTTCAAATAATTGTCGTCTTGTCTCACAAATGAAAAGGAGCAGAAAGAAGAAAAAAAATCTTATGTTGCCTGCCCCTTTCTTCATACATGTACAAATTAAATAAAAAATAAATAAAAAAAGAAATAAATAAGATGGCCTTTAGCACTTCTTCAAACTGTTTTTATTTGATGTGTTTTTGTTTTCATAATTCTTTGTTTTTTTATTGTTTTTTTCTAATTAACTTTAGACTTATTTTCAAAGTCGCAAGTTTGTTTTGACACTTTTACTGTCTTCTCCGTGGTCAAAAGTAATGCAGGTTCAAGCAACACGCCTACTTTTCCCACTGTTGTCCCGGGTCGATACGGCACAGGTCAAAAACACGGGTCTTGAGTGTGTAAATGCCCCCAGATTCATGTTCAGGTCCTACACTGGCTTGGATGAGTCGGATTGGTCTATAAGGACAACCAGCAACATTCACCACTCCATAATTATAGTCTACTCTATATTTGGGCTGCGTTCTATTCCGTGGCTAGAGAGCTTTTAGCAAATACTTTCGGGCAGGGCCAAGTTGAGATAAGCTGACTATTATAACTCCCTTATTCCAATAACAGGCTGCATCAAAGTGATTTTCCGTGTCCCGACACAGTACAGACTCCAGCCGGGCCCAGTGAGTTGGAGAGAATCGATTTGGCTGTTGTTGAATAATGTAGAAGTGACGGTAGAACAGGGAGAGTCTAATGCCTTTGGACTGAGGTGGACAGGGTTTGGCTCTGGTGAGACACTGCAGTGAGAATATACTAATGTAAAAACACAAATTAGGATGACATTTGCTCAGGTGACTTTTGCAATGTCAATGCCAGCTTTACTTGTATAGCACATTACAACAACATCTGCTGGCCAAAGAAAACAGCTTAAAATATATACACATACATTTCATTTCATATAATTTTCATCCCTTTATAATATCTCTTTCTGGGTCGGGGGCGGTGGCAATCACAGCTGCCACCCAATTCTCAATGCATTGGACCCACCACCTGCTGGAAAATGGCTGCTCCCTCAATGAAGATGTAGCCTTGGTGTTTCAGCGGGGGTTCAGGCAAAGTGGGGTTTAGCGTCCTGCCCAGGGACACAACAACAGCACATATCAGTGGGAGAAGACATGGGTCGGGCTGAGATTACGACTATTATGACCAATCCTCTACTAACTTGCCCCAATACACACACATGTATAAGGAAAGCGGTAAAACTCAATTGGTGTTTAAAGCCAAGGCGTAAAAATGTGTCTTTAGACTAGACTTAAAAACCTCCATCGAAGGAGCTGCTCTGATGAACAGGGTAAACTATTCCACAGTTTGGGGACAGCAACAGAAAAAAGCTCAGTCTCCCCGAGTTCTGAGACGAGACCGGGGCACGTTCAACTGAAGCTGGTTTTCAGACCTCATTGATCCGACAGGAGCAGACTTTAGATCTGCTCTGACAGATGCACCGGGACTAAACCATTTCAGCATTTAAAAACAAGCATCAGAATCTTAAAATCAACTCTGAATGTGACATGGAGTCAGTGAAGAGAGGCCAGAGCAGGGGTGATGTGCTCTCTTTTATGTGTCTCTGAGAGAGCAGCAACTACAACAAACAACAACATAAAGACTTATTTAGTAAGTTAGTTTGCAGAACATGATTTCCAATATCTTAGCTAATATTAAAGGGCCCATATCACGGTTTTTGACTTTTCTCTGCTTTAAACATGATTACAATGCTATTTGGCCTTCATACACAAGCCCACAGTAGTTTATTAATTGATTCTGTCAATCTTTTGTAAGAGAACAATCTGTCTCCTTCCCCAGCGTGAGGCACAGAAACGCTCGGGTCCACTTCAGTGACAAAAACCACACTGATGACGCGCATGACCCCGTTTGCTTTGTATTTAAAATAGTTGTTAAATACTTTTGTCAAAACGGGGTAAACAATACACAATTAGTATGCTGTTACTTTTTGTCAAAAATAATAAAAATAAAAATAAATTAAAAGCCGGCGGGAGGTGATTGACGGATCAAAACAGCGAATCAGAGCGCACAGGCTCCGGCTCCCGAGTCCAGCGTCTGTGGTCTGGTCTCGCGGACACCACATAGAGCTGCTGTTTTTATGCTTTTGTCAGAAACTAAAAGTGTTAAGATCACGTCAACTTGAATGAAGTGTGTTATGGGTGTAAATATGTGACACACTATTTGGCCCTAAGAGGAAGAAAGCGGCTCGACTTTTTTCATCTGTTCATCTCATGGATCTATTATAAACCGGTTCATCTGCGACACTTCACTGAGACTGTTCCAGAACTACAGGGACAATGGAACTGGACTTACTCAAAGGCTGATCTGGAAACACGTTATTCCCACGGTAAAAGACGTAACTCGGACCCCCTCGATCTGTAAGTAGTGACGCTAACTCGCTGTATACTTCTGTAAACTAAATAACTAGGGGTCTGATTGTGCATCGAGGACATAGGGCTCGATGTGACGGATTGTCATTGTTGGAAAAAGTTTATTCTTATGTATGAAATTACTAAGTACAGGTGATAAACGACAAAAGCGTGATGCTACGTCACCGTGAGGGCGGGGGGAGGAGGGGTGAGGGCGGGGGGAGGCGGGTGAGGGCGGGGGGGCGGGGGGGAGGCGGGGAGGGGGGGGGAGGCGGGCGAGGGCGGGGGGAGGCGGGTGAGGGCGGGGGGAGGCGGGTGAGGGCGGGGGGAGGCGGGTGAGGGCGGGTGAGGGCGGGGGGAGGCGGGTGAGGGCGGGGGGAGGCGGGGGGAGGCGGGTGAGGGCGGGGGGAGGCGGGTGAGGGGGGGGGCGGGGGTGAGGGCGGGGGGAGGCGGGTGAGGGCGGGTGAGGGCGGGGGGAGGCGGGTGAGGGCGGGGGGAGGCGGGTGAGGGCGGGGGGAGGCGGGTGAGGGCGGGGGGAGGCGGGTGAGGGCGGGTGAGGGCGGGTGAGGGCGGGGGGAGGCGGGCTCACAGGCAGAGGAGCAGACTCTTCTGGATCAGCTCGTTTGAGTCGAGGTGACGTCACCTCTATACAAGAGATGGCTCTAATCTCACAAGCTTTGATTGTTGTGTGGTGTATCATACACATTAATATCACACATGTGTATAGGATTGAGTGTGAAACCTGAAGAAAAGCGTGATATAGGACCTTTAAGATATTAATTTAAGTTTATATTTTGTTTTGCCAATTCTTAAGACAGGTTCGTATTCAACAGTAGGATATTTTGGCTGCAATTAATGGGAAATATACAATCTAAATTTGGTTGCTTTGTTATACTGAGATTTGTATGATTTCTGACGGAGGATTTACATGGAAAAGAGCACATTGAGCCACAGTTCTCAAGGTGAAAATAAAGTTAAAAACATAGAAAGTGATGCATGGTGATTAAATACTTTTTCGTCATGTCATCGTAACTTATTTAGTGACACAGAGTCTGTACAGTAGTTTTAGACCTCTCTGTTCTGCCATCACTTCTGCATTATTAAAACGGACAATCGATGAGCGGCTGCACTGTCTGTACTGTCCCGGGACATGGAAAAACACTGAAAAAACATAATCTGGCAGCACTGGTGAGACACGGTGCATAAATGTTTCTGCATATGGTTCTATCTTCATAGTTTGAGAATGTCTTTTAGTCTAGTTTTTCCTTTGATATCTCCTGTGTGTTCGCGTAGATTCAGATTCAGACTACTATATTTATCCCACCAGGGGTAATTCGTTTGAGCAGCACCAAAAACCCCCACAAAAACCCAGAAAACGAATAAATAACATGAAATAAGCAATACAACATGAAGCCCGTTGGGACAAAAGATTTTAAGTGACGATTGGTTTTACAATCGTCAATAGGGGCGACAGTAGCTCAGTTGGTAGAGCGTTGGTCTCTGGACCTAATGGTCGTGGGTTCGATTCCACCACGGCCCATGTCATCTGCTCCCACTGATATCTGCTGTCGTTGTGTCCCTGGGCAAGACACTTAACCCCACTTTGCCTGAAGTCCCCGCTGAAAGATCAAGGCCGTATCTGTGATGAAGGAACAGCCATCTTCCTGTGGACCCACCAACCTGCAGGAGGATCAGCGAGGGACTGGTGCTATGTGAATTGGGTGGCAACTCTGACTGCCGCCCCCCTGACCCAGAAATGGACAATAAAGGGATGAGAATGAATGAATGAATGAATGGTTTTACAATATGGTGCAACATAACGTCGTCCTGATGGAAGCAAAGTTAACTTCCTCCCATGCATCAATCAGGCCTTGTTCCAGTCTCCTGCTGCGCTGTAGCCGCCCTCTCTCCACACATGTCCTGCCCCCACGAGAGCTTCAGGTTGCATTGGCATTCACCGCCACTGCCACTGCACATCCTACACTCCATTCTCATCCCCTCAATCATCCACTGCATGCATCTCAGTCTGCCCCCCCCCCCCAGTATTGGCAGGCTCTTGTTTCCAGGTGGAGGAAAGTTCCACAGAATATGAAGTGAGTTTGACACACGATAGCTGTGTAATGTATCAAACTGTGAAATCACCCTCTCCCTGTGTCTCATCTGCCCAAAGGGATCGGAGAGTTTCAAGTGAATCAGAGCCAGACAACTTTAGTATTCATCCCCAAAGGGCATTTATGTGGACAGAAGTATCCATCCATCCATTTTCTACCCTTTAATCCATTTCTGGGTCAGGGGGGTGGCAGTCAGAGATGCCACCCAAGTCTCATAGCACCAGCCCCTCACTGACCCTCTGCAGGTGGTGAGTCCACAGGAGGACGGCTGCTCTCTGAGTGTGAGCATAGCCTTGATCTTTCAGTGGGGGCTTTGGGCAAAGTGGGGTTAAGTGTCTTGCCCAAGGACACAACGACAGCAGTCATCAGTGGGAGTCGGTGGAGAAGGTGCAGAGGTGGGAACAGATGGTGGACAGAAGAAATGAGCAGAATTTTATTTTTTAGAAGACTTTGAAACTATGCTAGCCTGGTCTTACCATACCATTGTACTCATTTCATTTCGTACTAAGGTCTGGATTTGCGCCATTGACTCTGTTGGACCTGAGTTTACTGTGTTGTATGTAATGCGCACGAGTGAGTGAGGCATTTAGCATGTAGCCTAGCTTTAGCATGTAGCCTAGCTTTAGCATGTAGCCTAGCTTTAGCCATCTCCTTTGCCACTAACGGAGCCCGTGGGGAGAAGAACCACAACATCTTTGCAGCAATGACATTTGCTAAACATTCCTCTTGCCCCGGCTTCAATTTCTTGATATTTGGAGCTGATTGGCTTTTCTAAGGACTAATATGCAGCCCCAAAATCAACACATACATCAAACATTGTTAGCACACCCCTGAAATGGACTGTAAACCCTGAAAAAGGAACTGAAAAACAACCCCATTCCAATTCAATTCCATTTACTTTTGTATATCAGTAAGTTGCTGCAGACGAATCAACTTAGTTCAACAACAGCTGAAAAAGAATATTCCGCATTTGCTTTGGGCATCGTTGTCATCTGTTCAGTGTAGCTTACAGTCGGTCTCTGCAGACTGTCCTTCCATGTCTCTGTAGCTGTCATTGGCGAGTCCTGGCAGCCGTCCCGTTGCCAAGCACGAACCACAACAATGGCCCCTTTTCTGTCGGAGTGCATCGCAGCCAGAAGAATGCCTTTTTAATTGTGGCGTGCTTTGACAGTGGAAGCCCGAAGTCTTGTCTACCAACCCAGCTTCACAGACTTCCATGCTCTGCCTGGCTCGGATCATCACATTCAATTCAATGCAATGGTATTCTTGTATAGCCCTAAATCATATCAGAAGTTATCTAAGTCTTGAGTAAAAAATAATGGCTTTTCTAAGGACTTGTCGTATATACAGCCCCATATTCTAATTCAAATAAAATCAACCCATATATTCACTCATTGCCTGCCTTTGACGTATTTGTCTGAGACCGGTGATTCGACTGGGGATTACAGGAGAACCAAACTAGGGAGAAACAAACTTATTTCTGCTAATGAAAGTAGACAGTCTAGTCTTTCAGAATCTGGTTTCATATTTCACCTGGTAATAGCACACAATATTCTGTGGGTCTTGAAAATCAGTGAAATCATCAAAAACGGCTGGCAGTCCATGTGAGGAGCCGTGCGTGATAAGCATTCATTTATTTTTTTCATTTCTTTATTTATTTCAGGCAGAGGGCAACATAGAATATACAGCAGAAAACAAAACAAAACAAAAAACAATCCACTTCCACCTGAAAGGGAGTGGGAAGAAGAAAACTTATTTAATCCCACCCCCAGTTCCCCACTCAGAGCTCAACAGACTCAACTCAAGCATTGTTAGTGCACCCCTGGAATGGGCTGTAAAACCTGAAAAAGGACCTGGAAAAAACACATATAAAATTCAATTCCATTTATTTTTGTATAGCCCTAAAAAAAAGTGATTTTGCCAACACACATCTGGGAATCAAAGAGTTCAAACACAACAAATGCAATGATAGAAAACACAAAAAAACATTGGTCCATAAGGAACAGATGAGCAATGTCCATAAATGTTGAATGTCGAGTGTCATAAAATAGCGCCCGATACTTCCAAATGTTTCTGGCGACAGGAGTTATGGCCTGACCCAGTGTGACGGCTATTCATAGATATCTTTGTCCGTGGGTTTTCTTTACTGGACTGGCTATGGCTCTACACACACGGCCTACAGTTACACACCTCGCAGACAGCTGTAGTCAGAGGCCTTTGAAGTGTCACCACGTCGGCCTCGCTCCCTCTGCGCCGAGTCTTCAATAGGACAATGTTTTCGGAGTAAATCTGCAGTACATCCATATACATCCGTGGCGGCTCCCTACGGCTGCTGTTGTTTTTGGCCGAAAGCCTTGGAAATTTACAGCTTGTAGCCCCACGTTTATGTCTTCACGCTCGAACTGGAACGAAAAGGGGCTTTGAATTTGCTGCAGAAGGGAAGAAAGACGGAAGGAGAAAGCTAAATGAACCACCCACAAGTTTCTTTGTCAGTCCTTCAGTGATTAACCAACTTGATACGACTTGATTTTGGCCACTTACCAGAATATGTCTTTTTCCTTAATTCCCAAGAATACAAATGAACCAGGTCATGTGACGCAACCTTTCTCCCGAACAATGACTGTGTGACTACTTTAGAGATGCTGATTCTCGTTCACACAGACTGAAAATGAGTTTGTTCACATTAAAGGGCAAAAGCCAAACATTTGATTTTAATAATCAGAAGATATTTTATGTTTTTCATGAATCCAAGCACCTCCTCTGTTCATTGGAAGTTGCTAGAACAAAACTGTTTTATACATTAGACAAGCTTCCTATAGCGCCCTGTTTATTTTATGTAACAGACGTGAGGATTTGACGGAATGAGCTTTGCAGAAGTTTGTTACGTGTTTTAGATCCACATTTGATTAAGAGATTCTATTTTTTTTTTTACACAGAGTAGAAACAAAGTGATACTTTCATAGTCGACCAATTTAATGTGAAACCAGACCAGATGGTTTTTTCTCAAGTTGAATTGTTAGAGTTTCTAAATGGACGGAAACCATCAGGTCTGTTACACCTTTATCAAGGGTCATTTAATTATTATTATTTATTTTTTTACGATTCCTTTTTAAATCAATCTTGTGGGAGTTCACCTGGAGCTTTTTCAGACTGAGGACATTTTATTTTCTATGTAAATCAGAGGCTGATTTTGTCGTTTAAAATGTCGCCAAAAATATATTAGTCAATCTTTCCTTTTGATTTTATCCACACTATCTCTTCAATGTGTCTGTGTTTTCCAATCTATGAAAGTAATTTTAGTTTTTGAGTTATAACCTTTTAAAGTCCAGATACTTTAATTGACACTTTATTGTGAACTCACTCAAATTTCAAAACAAATGGATAGCCAAAGTGTTACCAGGAAGTCTGAGGTTGTTCTGATGTGGAGGATGTACAGTATATGTTTGTTTTCAGCTGCAGCAGAGGGTGTGGGATGCTCATAGTGTTTTCTTTACACCTTATTGATGTATGTGTTATGTTTAAGGCTGACTACTGCATTGTGCAAGTGACAGAATGAATGTGGAAAAGCAGAGACTGTTTTTCTTTCGTAATGCCCTGACACCGGCAAACAAGAATTATAATCGTCATCACATTAGGTGGATGTGTTTTCAGGGCCATACTGATAAATAGGAGGGAATGAGGCTGATAACTTTGTAGACTAAATGTTAATGGATTTCTGTGTTTTTTGATTATGGAGGCAGTCATTCTGAACAGTGGTGTCATTGTGAGGGCTTTTCTCTCATAACACTAATTTGACATGGCCCCTTTTGCAAAAATATTTGATTACCAAGCAGCAGTCAATGAATGATACATGGTTCCAGATAGACGTGCTTCTGAACTGTATTTTTTCAACTTTTCTGGTATGAAATAAGAATGAAAAGTTTAAAAAAGGTTATGATTTAGAAACTGTTCTTCTACAAAGCTCCCAGAGAAAAATGTTTCAATGTTTTTCCTGGTTCCCTCAATCCCACAATACAAACCATACTAAGCCCAAGACAAGGCATGTTCAAACTAAGGTCCGTGGGCCAAATGTGGCGCCCTGTGTCATTTTATTTTGCTAAATTAAAGTTTCAATATAAAGTAGCAAGATAAAAGTGTTTGAGATCATAATTAAACAGAAGTTCAGAGTGTCATCCAGCCAACATCAGCTCAATATAGACGCGGTATACCTTGTTCTATAGAAAGACCTTTGTTTGAGATAGTTAAAGCTGGTAAACATATCATACCCCATATTTATAAAACTCAGAACAGCCTGAATCCAGTGAAAACCGTTTTACAATCTGGGTTTTTTGGTGAATGAAAATTACCCTCTTACTAAGAAGTTTGGACACTTGAGCGAGACTGTGACCTCCTCTAATAGTCCTGAGAATGAGAAGAAATGAGCCTTGAGTTTATTATTATGAATATTAATTTCTGAAGGTGTCCCGTTCCACACTCTTGATCCAAACACACTGTAAGGTCCGGGGGAAGATGACGTCATCGCTCACTTCTGACACATCGGCCTCAGGAATGACGCCCGACTGGTTCAGTGTCACCTCTGCTTGGCTTTGCTCTGCCTCTTTGTCTCCACTTTCTTACTCACTTCATCTCTGTCTGCTCCTTTTATCACCAGCTCCTGTCCCAGAGCTGACCCTGCACCAGACCAGGCCGGACCCTGAGGGGGAGAGCAGCCCCCCCTCCACAGAAAACACCCCCAGAATGGAGACCCCCTTGAAGGACCCGAGACTGGACACTCCAACCAAAGCAGACGTCATCGCCCAGTCTCCCATGTCTCCGGCATCACCCAGGTCTCCCAAATCAAAAAGAGGTAAGGCTTTGTAAAATCTTGAATGCCTGAAGAATAATAAGGAATGCGTTCTGAAGTGGAAGGAGTGGGTTTGGTAACGGTCACACTCCGGGGGCAGCGTGATGCGTCTGTGATGGAATGATTGTGACCGCATGCTTTCAGAGCTCAGGTGGAATCCAATTGTTGTGAAATAGTGTAAACATAATCTGAGAAGAGAGTTGGCAACTGCTGAAATACCAGAGATCTGTTTGATAATAGCACAGCAGTATGAAACAAGAAGAAGAAGAAGGTCCTTTATTCGTCGCACACACATCAAGGCCTGCAGTGTACATTACTTCAGCGATCCTTAACTCATTGTGTCCCACTGACGCACAAATACGTCAAAGCAAATAGTAACATTGTGTGCCATTGACGCATTAATACGTCAAATGCTTTTTTCGCTATTTTCACGTTCCCAGATGTCTATTGTATCTAATATGTATGGGGATGACTTGAGACCATATTTTATCGAGCCAGCAGGTGGCAGCATTTCTCTCTGAATGGTTTGAAAACCGTTAGGTGCACATGTTGTGCCTCTTTTTTCTCAACTTTCTGGTGATTTCAGTAAAACTTCCCTCTACTCAACGGAGGATTACAGGGGAACGAAAAAAGCTATAAACAAAATTCTTTTTGCTGAGGAAAGTAGACAGTCCATTCTTTTAGAATCTGGTGTCGGATTTCAGAGGCAAAGTGGGTTAAGTGTCTTGCCCAAGGACACAATGATAGCAGACATCAGTGGAGTCGGTGGAGAAGGTCTTGTGGTGGGCTCGAACCCAGAACTAGGGCTGGGCAATAAAACAATTACAATATTTATCGCAATACACACGTTCTTGATCTCAATAGATATAATATAATAATAATGTTTCTGGGGGAAACATTATTATTATAATGTTTTCCTAATGTAGGCAGAGGCTTCTCGACCTATCACAGCCGAGCATTCTGGCAAAACATTCTGGGAAAGGTAAAAACAGCACCGTGCGTAGCCTCCATGGGTCTATAGATCATGTTTCGAAGCCGTCAATTTTTTTTGCATGTCCGTGTGAGGAACAGCATGTGCAGCGGCGGGAGAGGCAGTGGACACAGAGACCCGAAGCATGCGGCAAAAGCAAAAGCATGAACTTTTTACTCAGCCGCACCGAGCCGACACGACAAATGTATTTATTTAGGTTATAAAAAAACTCCAAAGAAACAATCGAAAATTATTGATTTCGACCGATATGAATCCAGGTTCTAAACTGCAAAGTCAACATTTTCCCGGTGTAGTAGTTTTAGGAAACATGCAAGATGTACTTTCAGAAATTAATATTCATAAAAATAAGCTCACAGTGGCTCAGTTGGTAGAGCATTGGCCTTTGAGCCTGAAGGTCGTGGGTTCAATCCCACCGTAAGACCTACTTCACGACTCCCACTGAGGACTGCTGTCGTTGTGTCCTTGGGCAAGACACTTAACCCTACTTTGCCTGAAGCACCCACTGAAAGATCTCAGCTCCTGTGGACTCAGCACCTGCAGGAGGATCAGTGAGGGGCTGGTGCTCTGTGGACTGGGTGCAGCTCTGACTGCCACCCCCCCGACCCAGAAATGGATTAAGGGGAAGAAAATGGATGGATGGAAAAATAAGCTCAAGTTTGCTCCAATGTTAATCAGTGCTAATCACCTTTGCACACACGCTAAATACATTCTAGTGAATATTTTCATTTCATATTTTTACAAACTGCTCTGACGTATGTGTTTCCTTGGGGCAGACCGAGCTTGTCCTCAGTGTATCGTCAGGTTAATGAAAAATAAGGTAAAAGAAGAGAAGTGCTGATGAGGCTAAATTATTGCACATATATCACAGGTAAATACAGCATTAACAAAACTAAACATATGCTTCGTGATAATTACAGTACCTTGTCCTTTAATTGACTCACCTCAGAGTTCTGAGTAATCTGGTGTTTCGAGCCTCCTGGAGCAGCCTGGAGAATATCAAACGCTCTTAATTAAAATGAGGGGTGTTGGCGGCAGAGGAACTGAGGAACAAGACTCAAGGACTCAAGGAGACAGGCCTCCTCTCTGACAATGTTTAAAACCAGGTTAAAGACAGTTCTGTTTAGCTGTGCTACAACTGAGGGATTTTATATTTTTGTATCTTTCTTTTTAATGCTCTGTGATTATTTATGATTTTAATGTTTTCTTGTTTTGTTCAGCACTTTGAGTTGCCTTGTGTATGAATTGTGCTATATAAATAAACTTGCCTTGACTTCTGAAAAACCAAAGACAAAAGGCTGAGAACACGAGAGTAAATCACAGAAGCTTGTTTTACAGTGACTTTACTGATCTACAGATTTATACATGCTTCTTTATTGTAAGTAAGATTGCTGTTATTCGCTCATGCATTTTTTTTTTTACATAAAAAAAGGTTACAAAACACTTTAGCTCATGTCAGTAATGTCCATGCTTTAACATAGATATACAAACGTCATTGTGACCGAAGGGATTAGGCTGAAGTATAACTTATTTTGCCTTAATCCAATTCATAAAGTAAAGTAAACTAAATTTCATGTTCAGGAGAAAAAAATCAAAAATAAGCAACAGGATGAGAAGGAACGATGAGTTATAATAGCATATTAATAATCTGAGAAACAGTTAAAAAGATTTTCTTCCCGATTATAACAACAAAAAAGAAAGGTTGGAGAGTTGCCAGATCTATCATTCTTGGGTTGGTATTTTGGTATTAAGTCAAGGCAAGTTTATTTATATAGCACAATTCATACACAAGGCAACTCAAAGTGCTGAACCAAATAAGAAAGCATTAAAATCATAAATAATCACAGAACATTAAAAAGAAAGATAAAAATATATAATCCCTCAGTTGTAGCACAGCTAAACAGAACTGTCTTTAACCTGGTTTTAAACATTGTCAGAGAGGAGGCCTGTCTCACATCTTCAGGAAGACTGTTCCAGATTTTAGCAGCATGAATCTGAAAAGCAGCCTCCACATGTTTAGTTCTGACTCTGGGCACTAACAGGAGTCCAGTCCCTGTGCTCCTCAGAGTCCCAGCAGGAGTCCAGTCCCTGTGCTCCTCAGAGTCCCAGCAGGAGTCCAGTCCCTGTGCTCCTCAGAGTGCCAGCAGGAGTCCAGTCCCTGTGCTCCTCAGAGTCCCAGCAGGAGTCCAGTCCCTGTGCTCCTCAGAGTCCCAGCAGGAGTCCAGTCCCTGTGCTCCTCAGAGTCCGTATTATGCCAATGTTGGGGTTTTTATACTTACTTAGCGATTGTTCTAATTCTTGCTTCTTCATTTTGCTAAAGTTGCTCCTTATTATGATAAAACTCGAGTTTATATACTGCTTATTTGCCTGAAGCACCTACTTTGCCTGAAGCACCCACTGAAAGATCTCAGCTCCTGTGGACTCAGCACCTGCAGGAGGATCAGTGAGGGGCTGGTGCTCTGTGGACTGGGTGCAGCTCTGACTGCCACCCCCCCGACCCAGAAATGGATTAAGGGGAAGAAAATGGATGGATGGAAAAATAAGCTCAAGTTTGCTCCAATGTTAATCAGTGCTAATCACCTTTGCACACACGCTAAATACATTCTAGTGAATATTTTCATTTCATATTTTTACAAACTGCTCTGACGTATGTGTTTCCTTGGGGCAGACCGAGCTTGTCCTCAGTGTATCGTCAGGTTAATGAAAAATAAGGTAAAAGAAGAGAAGTGCTGATGAGGCTAAATTATTGCACATATATCACAGGTAAATACAGCATTAACAAAACTAAACATATGCTTCGTGATAATTACAGTACCTTGTCCTTTAATTGACTCACCTCAGAGTTCTGAGTAATCTGGTGTTTCGAGCCTCCTGGAGCAGCCTGGAGAATATCAAACGCTCTTAATTAAAATGAGGGGTGTTGGCGGCAGAGGAACTGAGGAACAAGACTCAAGGACTCAAGGAGACAGGCCTCCTCTCTGACAATGTTTAAAACCAGGTTAAAGACAGTTCTGTTTAGCTGTGCTACAACTGAGGGATTTTATATTTTTGTATCTTTCTTTTTAATGCTCTGTGATTATTTATGATTTTAATGTTTTCTTGTTTTGTTCAGCACTTTGAGTTGCCTTGTGTATGAATTGTGCTATATAAATAAACTTGCCTTGACTTCTGAAAATACCAAAGACAAAAGGCTGAGAACACGAGAGTAAATCACAGAAGCTTGTTTTACAGTGACTTTACTGATCTACAGATTTATACATGCTTCTTTATTGTAAGTAAGATTGCTGTTATTCGCTCATGCATTTTTTTTTTTACATAAAAAAAGGTTACAAAACACTTTAGCTCATGTCAGTAATGTCCATGCTTTAACATAGATATACAAACGTCATTGTGACCGAAGGGATTAGGCTGAAGTATAACTTATTTTGCCTTAATCCAATTCATAAAGTAAAGTAAACTAAATTTCATGTTCAGGAGAAAAAAATCAAAAATAAGCAACAGGATGAGAAGGAACGATGAGTTATAATAGCATATTAATAATCTGAGAAACAGTTAAAAAGATTTTCTTCCCGATTATAACAACAAAAAAGAAAGGTTGGAGAGTTGCCAGATCTATCATTCTTGGGTTGGTATTTTGGTATTAAGTCAAGGCAAGTTTATTTGTATAGCACAATTCATACACAAGGCAACTCAAAGTGCTGAACCAAATAAGAAAGCATTAAAATCATAAATAATCACAGAATATTAAAAAGAAAGATAAAAATATATAATCCCTCAGTTGTAGCACAGCTAAACAGAACTGTCTTTAACCTGGTTTTAAACATTGTCAGAGAGGATCCCTGTCTCACATCTTCAGGAAGACTGTTCCAGATTTTAGCAGCATGAATCTGAAAAGCAGCCTCCACATGTTTAGTTCTGACTCTGGGCACTAACAGGAGTCCAGTCCCTGTGCTCCTCAGAGTCCCAGCAGGAGTCCAGTCCCTGTGCTCCTCAGAGTCCCAGCAGGAGTCCAGTC